ATGACACTTGTTGGGAATCAGCCAGAAGTCGTTGAGGAATTAAAGTACCAGGGCAGTTGTATCCGTGCGTGTGGAACAGATGAGAGCACGAATGGTATCGCAAAAGCCTGCACGTATTTTACATATCTCCACTATTTTTGATGCCAGCGCGACATCACTCTCGTCCTGAAGGATAGTCTACAATGTAGTCGCCCGTTCAATCCTACAAGGTTTTGAAATCTATCCCATCAAATCGAGAAGTAAGGAGACTAGAAACGTTCGACCACCGTTGTCTTCGCAGCTTAGCTTATATCTGATGGGAACATGACGAGAGTAATAAGCATGCACATCGTCTGTATTTGTAGGTATGTAACACTTGCACAATAAACATTTGGCAGTGCCACAACACAGTAACAATAACAAAAAAGAGAGAGTGAGTAAAAGGACTGGAAGCAAAGTTCCACGTGTTGTGTGGGCATTTAGCTTCCCGGTTGCCCAGGCCGAGGAAGAGAGTTGACTTAGGGGACCCCACCCTGAGCCTTTGGTCTAAAGACCTGACCGGCAAGGCAGTGGGGTGATTCACGAAGACCGTTGACAGCCAAGTGGCTCATTCGCCTTCTTTGTGTTCGGAAGCAGTCCACAGAAAAGCCGGTGACCAACAAGGTTGTTCATCCGCCCTCCGTTAGATACCCTAGTTATAGGAATGGTCAGTGACCCTATAGCCGGTCACATTGGCTTTGACACAGCGCCGTACGAGCACTTGTGGTATTTAATGGGGAAACAGGTGACCAGCCCAGAACTCCCCACGCTCTGGGACGCTGCCGCTGATTGTCCGCGACTGCTTATTCATCTCGCCTGCAAAGCAAACAAGACTTATTTGCAGTTACCTCCACAAGGAAGGCATTCCCCGATCCACAACCTGGGGACGCGCCCGATAGCGTACAGCTCATCGTCTAGTCTATGGTGTATGAAGAGGTAAAGAACCACTCAGCACCAGCCTTTGATGGCTGAGCCACGTGTAAAGCATGTCAGCAAACCGACTCCCCGGACATGCGTTGCATGCGTGAGCGGGGTCTGGAGGGAATAAGTTGGGCGGTTAGCCGATGACTTGGTCAAGAGGAATGAAGTCCCTACGTTCGAAGTTAGCTCCGGTTGGGGTTTGAAAGACGTGGAATCCATTCAGTTGGACCCATTTGTTGAAGAGACGAAGAATTGAGCCAAATGTTGTCTGTAACGTAAATTTCTGTCTGCCTTTTCTCGCTTTGCCTTCGCCAACCGCTACCCAGTAATTTACGTGTAATATGAAACGAAGGATAATAAGATTTTTGAATACTTCCCACATATTTTTTGTCTCTTTTACCTTTTTGAATCGCAGTGGCAGCTGTGCTTAATAAATGAATGCCTACGGTAATTGCATACTACTCCCATTCCGTTTATCTCCTGAGCAATTTTGGTCCATCAGACCTCGTTGTCAACATGTAAACTCTGCTTCATCATGCGCATAATAGTCCATCTAGTTAAACAATTTTTTTGTTGAATTCCAAAAGGTTCATCGACCCTTCGGGCATCTAGTGACTGGTGTGGTAACGACCGATAGGGCTACAAGCAGACGCTCCCGCATGGTGCATGGCAAGCGACATACCATTTCACTGCAGCTCATTGTAGTTAGCACAACAGATTGAAAATCCGATAAGCAGGATATCCTGATAGGCTGAAACAACTCAGTTTCCCATCGACGAAGATGTATGTTATGCCTCCATGTAAAGTTCATGGAATAACGAAAGCGTACCAAATAAAGAACAGAGTCGACGCACATATCCCAAAACGAAAGTCAGTTCAGGATGGAACCACGCCAATTGTAAGTTACGGTAAGATGGTCTATATAGGGTCATCAGTGGCTAGCTATAGGGGAACGCCAAATGGCAATTCTGCGCCCACTGTGCCTAAAAGCGGTAATGCTAAGAAACGGTGATCCGCGCTAAACTGCAACAAACGCTCATTATTGTCCGTCCGTTCGGAGTAACCACCTAGTTGGGCTTCCGAGTTCAGACGATGCACTTGCGCATTTATATCCTGCGCAATAGTTGCGATGTTTGGTTACGCTGCGAAACAGAGTACCCTGTTCATAGTAGGTGATCTTGACAGCTTTAGGACCGCAGTCATAGGGGCGTAAGTAGCAACCACAAAAAGTAGCGTATAACACTACTTCGTAAAAGTATCTTAGTTGAGGTCAAACGGACTATAAGCAAACGGCTGCTCAAAAGAATACAATCAACACGACATTGCTCAGCATTGGAGCAGAGCACGATGCCAACCACAGACCTACCACTGGTTGCCACATCGACGTCTCTGGATGCTTGTAACCAATTGCAGTTGTTTCAACAACCTGCATAGGTGCAGGGTGATCGTCGCAGTATCCTCAGCCCACGTGCGACCGTTGGTTGTAGAGCGGCAGCGAAGCGTCGGTACTGCGTACCGACGTACCGCTGATGTCTTTTTAGTTCAACAACCACGTGAGGGTCATTCATTCTGGTTTCGGACACGAACAGAGGTTGATACACAGGGTGTCTAAAATGCGTGCGAGTACAGCTTACTGACCTATACGCGTTAGAGTTCGGACTTTGAACGCCACATGGGAAGCGGAACAGCGTGGACTTATAAGGGACAGTGGACGATAGAAGTACAGTTGGTGATGCGGGATAATAGTTGCAGACGACAGAACTTCAGTGGTATAATGGCTACCATTAGCCAACCTGAAATTATAAAAGGTAGGCTAGTGACGGAGGTGTGGTGGGTTACGAGAGAAATAGGTGGAAAAGAAAGGATGGATACATCCGCAGTACCATGTTGCTGGATGCCACAGAAGAAGCAACACTTTCAGAGCTGCGCAAAGGGCGATGTGGCAAATGCCTGGATTGTGGTAAAATACCCACGGTTGTACATGAACTGGTGTCCTGCTCGGTACCCGAACTTAGAGTACAGTGATTATGGCCTTCAACCAAAGCCTTTGGCTCAATAGCTTGTCCGCAACACAAGCCATCACATCTCCAACCACCAAGGTGGAAGACTAGGTGACTGAGTTCGTCTGACCTGAAAACAGTTGATGAACATGGTAGGAGCTGTCGCGGTGCCCAGGACATAACCCAGTATAGTTCAAAATGTCGAATACGTAAGCGAACTTTCGCGCCATATTAATGTTGTCTCGTTGTGGTGTAACGGAAGAATCGTTCCCTACTGACTAGATCAGAAACGATTTTATAAAGTGGAGCGGTTGACAAGAATGCAGAACAAGCTGTTATACTTTTCTTGACCCAGACCACGTGATGACTTACGAACATCACCATATGTTGCGGAGATCCCCAGAACGAAGCATCGCAAGGTTTATATGACCAAGGTAGCTGATCGTTTGACTCGGCTAACCTATGAATCTTCACTGACAGAACCGCTCACGCACAATTCACCTGTGCGCTCGCATATCCAGGCGTCTAGCTTGGATTGTCTTTGGGTTCACGAAACGAAACGAAAGTTTGCTTTCGGATTCGATCCTAGAAACGATTCAAGGCTGGCGGCTGAGACAAAAATCATTCACAGCCGTTCAAACAGGGCGACGCAGCAATGGGCAGCCGGATAAGGTCCAAAAGCAGAAACAAAGAAAGCGCTAACTGCTTGGAATGAGTTAATTAATGTCCTAATTTTTAAGAGGTGTTCAACGGAGGATTAGTCAGATTTCGGTTAAATACAAAACATCGGCATGCATTCTGCTCCGTAAATTGCGATCCATATTTTGTCTCACACAAGTATGTGCTTTAAATCATCCCATACAGCCGTTCTTAAATAGCGTCATGCAGGCCTATCATTACTGCCTTAATGGACATCCGCAACCAACCCGAATGGTAGACCGGCAGTACGAAGTTGCTTGCTAAGACAAGGGGTACCAGGAAAGTACATTGCAGTTTGAAATGCACTTTAGGTCAAGTATGCAAGTACATCTATGGTTTGCGGCTAGCTTCCTGTTTTATTTTCAGTAACGATGAACAATAAGAATCATACAGAATGTACCAAGAGATTCAACTGCCTTGGCAGAAGCATCAGTGCCTGCGGAACAGAAGAGAGGGTTACAGATCGCGCATCAAAACCTTTTGGAAGTTAATAAGTAAGTGTGACATCACCATACCCAAGAAAAGTAGGCACTACAACGCTACCGAACTTCATGCAAACTCGTCTCATTGTGAACTCCAATGTTGCGAAAATCGGTCCCCCATCGGAAGTTCCCCGGTCTCTTCAGACTATAATTATCGGTCCGACAGGTAAGCACATATTCACTGAAAAGGCACGACATACAGACTAAGGTTGGTGCCCGCATGGAAATTGTCGTATGCCGGAGTGACTGTTGGAACGCTGTGACCGAGTTTCACGTCCTTCATAGTCAGTGGCACGCATACTAGACGAATTTCTCACTCGGAAAAACTTTCAGCATAGTCTAATAGAAGTGTACTCCTTCTAGGTCTAAAATAGTCTGTGTTTAGATGAAACCGAATCTTCATGCGTCACAATACGCTACTGAAGATGTTTTGCAAAACGCAAATATTTTGAGTGACCGGTATGTGACTAAAATATCTCAGCAGAGCGCTAGGTACGACGATGTGGCCAACCTAAATCAGCTTATCGGAACCTTGCGCAGACTGGATGTACAATTCATTCATTTTTCAAACGATCTGAGTCATGGCCGGCGGTGTTAATAGTATAATTTAATATCCAGTGCCATAACTAAAAAACAAGCCCAACTACTTTTTTCTTCACATTTCTGCAAGTGACTGTGAACGCGCTTAAATGGAGCGATCGCTTGTTTACCTGAGCCGACAGTGGCGCAGTTTCCTCGTAGTGTTGCGACGTGCCAGAGAGAAGACAATACATTAGCAGAAATAAGCTAAAGCGGTAGATACTAACGGATAAAAACCGGAGATAACGTAACTATAGCGACGGAGCCGAAGACAGAAATATAGTAAATGCAGCAGGCTTACCTTCTTTCCACAACGGTACTTAGTAGATCCTTCCAAAACAACTCGTATTTTGTAGCTTGACATTGAGGCTACCGGAAACGAGACATGTGAATTCAAGTTTAAAGCGCCAGGGAAAGTACGGGGAGTGGTTGAGGGAGAAACCTACGGCCAATATAGTACGCGTGCGGTCGAGGATTCCGAGGACTTCCGTGTTCAGCGTGTACGTAGGCCGTAATAGACGTGGGGAGCTGCAATGGAAAGCGAATACCTCGTAGGTGGCTGGATGCTCATATCATAACCACCTAGTAAGAGACCACAGTAAACCAAAGGTGAAGGTAAAGAGAAGAGGTAGCATCAATGGCCGTCTACGCGAGGTACGAGCTACTTACTTTGAGGATCACTACAAGGTCACGCTCGGACCCGCTACATTATCCGCCCTGTTGACAAACGCTGTCGTCAGCGCCTACAGTAGCCTCAGCCGGTCTCGACCTGTTTATGAGAAGAACTGATGAGTGCAGTGTGCTAGGTTCGAGAGATTCCATGACGAGCAGTGTGGTCACAGGAAAGTCAATGATAACCACAAGGGCAACGATCCAGCTTCAGGGAGTGTTGTCAGGAGGCTAACTGTGTAACGTGTCTGGTCTGTGATCTGCTGGTGTACAACTGAGCAGCACGGTGTGCTAGGTTTGAGATTCCACGACAAGCAGTGTGGTCACAGGAAAGTTAATTAAGGCCGCAAGAGCAACGATCCAGCATCAGGGACTGATGTCGGGAAGTGGCAGGGTCGCCAAATAACTAGTATGCGTGCAAGCGTTCTCCCTATAAAAAGCCACATATGTCCGTTTAACAACACTGTGACGTGGCGGATGTGACTGGCTATTAAATAAAGGCACTGCCCCTTGCCGCTCTCTGAGCAGCATTGTAATTCAAGGATGCGTTGGGCCCCTGATCTTATGCGGTCCTAAAGACGTATAAACCACTTGCTTGGTCACCGGTTCCCAACAGGTTGCGATATCCCCATATCGCCCTGCTGTCCTGTAGGTTAGATCCTGGTTCAAAGGCTCGGGGTGGGGCCCTCTAAGACAACCCCCTACTTCGGCCTGGGCAACTGGGTATCACCCCCACTGACGAACCATGGATGGATTACACTACTGCTTTCTCTCTTGCCATGTCTACTGGCTTTACTGTCTCTGCTGCTAGACATCCTCTCACAGATCGTCCCTCTCCAGTTCCTCAACTGCACGTAGGTCTTCCCCGGTCACCGTCAACAACAACTTACTGGTCGCATCTGCCAGAGTTCTGAGCAAAACGTTGGGCGCTCGATGCCCGATGGTCACAACATTCTCACATTCCACCGAAGCCCAAGTTTTCCTTCGTCCTGGTTCTCCATTCGGCCTTGCAGCGTTCAATGTGTGCACTCTGATGCAGATCGGACGACAAGCATGTTTGGAACGCACTCTTGACACTCTCAGTGGACATCTGTTGCCTTTCAGCAACAGTCCCTTTTGAGAACACGCTGCCCGTTTCCATGGCGACATTCAACGTTTGCACTCTAAAACAAATAGCTCAACAGGCTGCACACGCACGCATCTAGGACACACTGGGTATTGCTGTGTGTTGTGTGTCCGAAACTAAAATCAATGACCCTAATGGGGTTGTTGAATTAACTGTACCCGGCTTATCCTCTCGTTATTGGTTGCACGCATCCGGAGACACCGATGCAGCACTCACGGGTCAAGCTGGTGTAGGTATCATTCTAAGCTCCAAGACTGAGCCATCGTTGGTTGATTGGATTCCGGTAAACAGCCGTTTATGTGTAGCCCGTTTGACATCAGCTAAGGTGGATTCACGAAGTAGTACAAAACGCTGTTTGTTTGTGATTTCCGCTTATGCTCCCACCGACTGAAGTTCTAATGCTGTCAATGACACATTCTATCACAAACTGAACGCGCTGCTACGCAGTGCTACTAGTTCGGATATTATAGTACTTGCATGGGATATGAGCGCACAATTAGGGCATCTGAGCTCTCCAGAAGTTCAGCTGGTAATTATGGCAATTAACCCCGAACGGACTGATAATAGCGAGCGTCTGCTGCAACTGTGTGCGGAGCACCAGTTGTTTCTTAGTAGCCTTAATTTTAGACAGTGGGTGCCGAAGTGCCACTTGGCGTCCTCCTGTATCTGGCCAGCGATGGACCCAAAGTGACCATATAGCCATAAGTTACAGGTGGCGTGGTTCCATCCTGGATTGCCGCTCGTGCTAGTATACCTGCGTCGACTCTGATCATGGCTTGGTATGTTGTCATTTATCCCTGAACTTTACCGGAGTGTGCACCAAGCATCTCCTCCGATTGGCAATTGAGAAGTTTTCTCAGCCCTCGGTCAGACAAGCCAAACAAGACGCACTGCGTATCGAACTTTCGCTGTCTTGTTCTAATGACACTGAGATTCGGTGGAATAGGGTCTCATGCGCCATGCAAGACGCAGGAACATCTACTTGTGGTACTATCAATCGTCACCGCACCAGTCACTGGACATCGGAGAAGTCGGTGAACCCGTTGGAATCCAGAAGAAACTTGCCGGCTGGCTCTGAGCACAATGTGACCAGACGGGCTATTAGGCGCGAACTAAAGCGGAGCCTGGTGGACCAGTCGGGCACAAAAGTGGAGGAGCCAGGAGCAGTAGGCGATTACCACAAGCGCTTTCAGCTGATCCGCACCAATGGTCCGAGAAAACCAGGCATCGGTGACACAATCAGAGGAAATGCGAGTGCACTGATACACAATAGGGAGCGCCGTATGGTTTGTTGGGCAGAACACTTTCAAGATCAGTTCAGCTGGCCCCCTGCTCCCGGACCTCTTCCAACTCAGGTGATGCAGGAGGAGTCATGGACGGTTAGTTTAGAGCCTCCGTCGGAGGCCGAGGTCCGAAACGCGATCACAGCCCTTAACCGTTTTCGTGCGGCTGGCCCGGATTCCCTCCCACCTGCACTATTTAAGGATGGAGGTGAGGTCCTCTGTAAAGTATTGAACTCCCTATTCGAACGTATCTGGAAGTGTTCCTGCTAATTGGAGTGAATTGATAATAGTAGGGCAGTCGCACAGACTGTTCTAACCACAGGGGTATTAGCCTAAGGCCAGTTGTGACAAAATTACTGGCCTCGATTCTCATTCGTCGCCTCACCGTGGAACGGGAATCTCAGATTAGGGAAGAGCAGACCGGTTTCCGCCCAAGAAGTGGTTGTATAGACCAAATATTCACTTTGCGACAGGCACTAGAGCAGCGCCAGCACACCACAGACCGACAATAGCTGTGTTCCTCGATTTCAAGAGTGCGTTCGATTCAGTCGATCGATCGATTCTGTTTGAAATATTTGCCCGGAAAGGTGTCCCCACGAAATATGTGAACATCCTATGTACTCTATACACGAACACTACAAGCTGTGTCATGGTCTACGGTGGCCTATCGGATAACTTTCCGACCACAGGTGGCGTTCGTCAGGGTTGTCCGATTTCCCCATTTTTGCTCAATTTCGTCGTGGATTCTACCATGGAGCGTTCATTTGTGGAATCTCACGATGTAGGCGTTGAAGTGTTGTCTGGTGAAAGCTTAATTGATTATGCAGACTATATCGTCTTGCTTTTCGACGATGTTGCGGCGACACAATCAACCCCGAATAGCCTGTCTAGAGTGGTCTCATTATTTAGTATGTACTTCGCGTCTTCAAAGTGCAAAGTGTTGCTGCAGGACCACCAGTCATTTCATGACCCCTTGACCCTTGCTAACGAGGAACTCGAGGTGGTCGATCACTTCACTTAGCTTGGCAGCTGCATCAGCAATGATGGGCGCATTGAAACTGACGTCAGCTCACGCATTGCAAAAGCCAGAGCTAGCTTTTTGAACCTGCGGCATCTTTGGCGACAGAAAAGAGCTTCCCTACGTCTGAAAGGCCGTGTATACAAGGCCACAATGAGGGCCGTTCTGCTCTATGGTAGTGAGACTTGGCCCCTTCGGTCTGAAGATCTGAGGCGCCTTCAAGTCCTTGACCATCGTTGTCTGCGAAGCATTGCTGGTGTCGGATGGCAACAGCGTGTCCGCAACGATGATGTGAGTCGGCCAGTACTAGGTGGTGATAATCATGCTAGCTCGCAATGAGGCTGGACCTTACCGTGGTGCGATGGTTTGTGTGCCTCTGTGATCCATTGAGCTATACTGGGTGGTGCATTTTTGCACCTTCAGAGCTACTCATACCATATTGGTCAATGGTTAGAGGCCAGACAAACTCAGCCTCCTGGTTCTCCAGGTTGGGGGTTGGAATGAGGGTGGCTCCTTATTCCTTAAAACGAGCTCCTTGTAGCCCAGGGCCAAACCCGCTGCCTTGCGGTCAGGTTTTTGAACCAAAGGCTTTGGTTGGGAACCCTAATCGTTCTCCTGTCTAGGCCTGGGAAACCTGACAGTATCCTGCCCACGCAATACAATGAATCACACTTCAAACCAATTTCTGATGCTCTGGCCACCGCAGAGGATAATCAACGGTGCCCTATCTGCTGCATCGGGCAGGGTGGATAGGGGTTTGGATGCTAATGCTCAAGCCTTCCCGTCTTCTTATTCCCCCTCTTGCACTTTTCACCCTTATCGTCCCGTTCCAGCTTCACTTTTATCCCCCTGTCTTCAACCCCCCAATTCTCGGCCCTCCCCACCTTGCTTCAATAGGCGCTTGCCTTTTAGTTTCAACTCACATGTGAACGCGGAGAGTCATTCCTGCTCTATCAACAGGCCCATTCCAGGTCATCGGCTTCCATTTGGAGCCCTCGATCCTCCTTCAGATTGGCATGCCTCAATGTTCGCACATTGCTTTAGATCGGTCAACAGGCAGCACTTGCTCGAACATTAGAAACGCTATCGATCGATATCTGCTGCTTATCGGAGACCCGCCTGCAAGACTCGAGCTCTGTGGTCACTCTACGATCCCCTTCAGGTGACACTAGCAGCACTTTCTCGTTGCGCCTATCCGGTGACGATGCAGCTTCGAGCACCGGCAAAGCCGGTGTTGGTATAGCCCTGAGTCCCCGGGCTGAAGCTAC